AATTGCAGCCAGCAATCGGGCGAAGGCGGGGTACACCCTGGACAGGTCACCAATCCATCACACGGCTAACACATAGACGAACAACCACACACACACACTCCTATGGGCAATTTAGAGACACCAATCAAGCTGCATGTCTTTGGACTGTGGGAGGAGTACCCAGAGAGAACCCGGGTAAGCACGAGGAGAACATGGAAACTCCACACAGAAAGGTCCCAGGTGGGGCCCGAACCCGGAACCTTCTCGCTGTGAGGCAACAGCGCTAACCACTGTGCCACCGCGCTGCTATTTTTAAATATGTAAAATAAAATTATATTCAACTGAACACCTATTAAATACAGTATAAATGGCCCTTTGGGCAGACTTTAGTCTGACTTTAGCTAATAGTACAGCAATGAGACTGCAGTGATAAAGGTGTTAAATGACATTTGTCTCAATGCTGATTCAGGCAAAACATCAGTTTTGGTGCTGCTTGATCTCAGTGCAGCTTTTGATACTGTAGACCATAACATCTTTCCTGCACAGATGATACTCAGCTGTATTTATCTCTGAAACCAGATGAATCAGATCAGTTGGTTAAAATTCAAGCATGTCTTAAAGACACAAAGGACTGGATGACCTGTATTTTTTTTTCTACATTTAAATGCTGACAAAACTGAAGTTATTATACTTGGGTCTGAAAACCTTAGAAATCTGCTGTCTAACCATATAGTTACACTAGATGACATAGCCCTGGCCTCCAGTACTACTGTGAGGAACCTTGGAGTCATTTTTGACCAGGATATGTCCTTTAAATCACACATAAACCAAGTCTCTAGAACTGCCTTCTTTCACCTGCATCATATCACCAAAATCAGGAGCACACTGTCTCAAAGTGATGCTGAAAAACTGGTCCATGCATTTATTACTTCCAGGCTGGACTACTGTAACTTTTTACTATCAGGATGTCCCAGTTAGTCCCTAAAAAGCCTCCAGTTAATCCTAAATGCTGCAGCCAGAGTACTGACAGGAACTAGCAAGGGAGATCATAATTCTCCCATATTAGCCTCTCTCCACTGGCTTCCTGTAAAATCCAGAATAGAATTTAAAATCTCCTAACATACAAAGCCCTTAATGACAAGGCTCCATCACATCTTAAACACCTCATAGTGCCTTATCATCCCAACAGAGCACTTTGCTCTCAGAGTGCAGGTCTTCTTGTTGTTCCTAGAGTCTATAAAAGTAGAATGGGAGGCAGAGCCTTTAGTTGTCAAGCTCCTCTCCTGTGGAACAGTCTCCCAGTCTCAGTTTTGGAGGCAGACACCCTCTCTACCTTTAAGATTGGGCTTTTTTTGGAAAATGTTATAGTTAGGTTGATATACTGTATATATTTTTTTAATCAGTTTTCAATATAATACTAGGAAGACAGTTAGAGAGGGCAGAGGTACTTAGCATGTTGTGTTATGCAGTCCAATATTGCATGGCACCATAATGACCAGAGTAACTGAATACGGATAAGACTGACAGTCATCTTGGTAACTACAAGCAAACTCAGGGCCTAGGCTGGCCTGTTGCCACTGAGTATATTTAACTGTACCAGTGGTTTGTAGTCAACAGGATGACCTTTGTTTGTGCTCATGTAGTGGCATCTATGAAATTACTGGACATGCATTCTAGGATAGGTTTACAATCCCTTAAATATAGGCCTAGGCTGGGAGTCCTCCTATGATGTTCTAAGCCACAATTGCATTTCACTAACTTTGTTTCTCCTCTCTTTCTCCCTTACCTTTCTGCAGGTATCCTTGGCTCCAGAGCTCTACGTTTCTAATGAGCAGTTACCGGCCTCATTAATCTGGCCAGAGTTGGTTTGTTGAGTCCTGATGCTTTTCTTTCTTTTCTCTCTCCTCTATCCACTCACCCCAACAGGTCAAGGAAGAAAGCTGCTCGCCACCAGAAAGCTGCAGTGGTTAGTGCTGTTGCCTCACAGCAAGAAGGTTCCAGGTTTGAACCCAGGCTCTTTCTTTGCAAATTTGCTCTCCCACACTTTCCTGTGTGGGTTTTCTCCGGGTACTCCAGGTTCAGTCCAGTCAATTGGTGACTCTAAATTATATTAATTATCATAGTTATGTAGATTTACTTACTTTAGCTCTGTCAGCAAGTGACAATAGTTCCCTAGACACTTTGTCAGTGCTTAGAGGAAGTAAATACCTGGATGCAATTAAATTTCCTCAGACAAGACAATCTGCTTTTGGCCTAAAGAAGGAAATGTTAAAAATTGCTTAGCATAATTCTAGAGTTGTAAAGACAAAAACTCAAGGCTGAAATCTTGTCACAATTGACTCAGACCTGAGCTTCAGTCACATTAAGGCCACAATGAAATCAGCTTTTTATCATCTCAAACAAACAGCAAGGCTTGGAGGTCTCATATCTAGACAGGATTTAGAGAAATTAATCTCCAGCAAGGTGAATTATTGTAACAGTTTTTTATTTGGTCTTCACAAAAAGACTGTTCAGCAACTTCAGCTTGTTCATAACTCTGTTCTACAAGTTTTAACAGTTTGCCAGTGTTGTGTGAGATTGTAAAAGAAGGGAAAATACATAATTGACACAAAATACAACATTTTATTTTAGAATAAATTCTCAATGGCACATTACATAACCAAATATACATATTAAGACTTTTTTGTAAATTAATATATTTCTTTTAATCATTTTATCTTATTAATTAGCGTACTCTGTGGTTACATTTTTTACATGACAACAATGCAAAAGAAGTTGTTTAATAAATTAAGCATATTAACAGAAAAAAGGCTGCCAGACATTCAGACAATACCTGCTACTAGCTAAATGGCATCCTGTTTCTGTCCAAATTTTCTGTCTCTGCTCGTCTTACCCGAGGTAAATCACTGATCTAATTGAGCAATTGTTTTCACTCCATCTGTATCCGAAAAGGTACTTAAAGAACTTAGCTTCCTGGCAAGGTAAATGGTGTTCGCTCCTCACAGCAACAGGAATAGTTCTCTACCCCATAAGTGTAAGACCTACCAGTTTGGTCACAGAGAAACATCTGTGTGAAGATTTCTTCTTGTTAACCACACTCCCACTTAGCCCTTCTAACTCTAGTTTGTGCAGCTCCAGACTAATGTTAGGTTATAGTTGAGGACTTGAGTAGAACTATTGTCCTGTTGTGCTTGTGAGCAACTGGTTTTGCAGTTTACTTCTAAGAGACTTGGTAATAACTAATAAATCTAAAGTACAAAAAAAGCTCCAAGTTCACATTCAGTGCCAAAGGTTTAATTTTAACCTGAAGCATCATTTTCAAGTCATCAGCTGACAAGCTAGGAGACTTCAAAACCCTGGAGACATTCCTGTTGAAAGGTTCCAAACATAAACACAAATACACTGAGATAGCAAGCTTCATTGGGAGGTTATCAGAAGGTGAAATGTTTTCAGTAAGTTCAAGATCTATTTTCACGCCAATGTGGTGGTTTATTTGGTACCCACAACTGTGCTGTAACTGAAGCCTGAAAATTCCCATCCTCTCACTCAATGAGAGACAGCCAGTGAGCCAGACAGTGAGTGAGAGAGAGCATCAGTGGTGAAAAGGCTTTACAAAGATTGTAAGGTGCAGCTTTGACCAAAATAAGCTTATGGCAAACTCTGTTGGCAGTGTCCCCTACTGCACCCCAGTTGAGAACTTCCACTGACCCAGCACTTGAGTTCAGGGGTTTGAAATTACCTTTACAGATGCAGAAATGTTATGCTGTAGACAAAGTGCAGCCAATAGCAAGGTTACAAAAGCATATCAAAAATCAAAGATGCTCCCTAAAAATGCTTTTTTATTTGCAACGAACAATTTCAGATCCTCCAGAGAACTGAAGCTCCCAGTGTTGTCACATCCAGGGCTACTCTACATCTACTGTATGTTTTTCTGCATGTGTGCGTGTCTCCATGCTTTATTTTTAGCAAAGAGGAACCTGCGTACCATTGAAGGACAAAGGCAAAAAGGAAACAGGTTGGTGTCTCACTTAGCAGCTGATTAGATAAAATGGGAAGTCAGGCTGTAGTCTTGTATTACCACTCTTTTCATATCTGTCAACTCAACAAGATGCTTGAGAAAAAGCTGAGGCAGAGTCTAGCTCCCTGTACCTTTCTGCAGGTTGCCCTGGCCCTGGAGCTCTACATCTCTGACGAGCAGTCACCAGCCACATCGACCTGATCAGTGCTTGATTGTTGTGTCTTGTTGCTTTTCTTCTTTTGTCTCTCCTCTATCCACTCACCCCAACCGGTCGAGGCAGAAGGCCGCCCACCAAGAGCCGGGGTCTGTCGGAGGTTTCTTCCGTTAAAGGGAGTTTTTCCTCCCCACTGTCGCCAAGTGCTTGCTCAAGGGGGATTTGTTGGGTTTTCCCTATGTAATAATATTGATAACAGTAAGGTCTAGACCTTACTTTGTAAAGTGTCCTGAGATGACTTTTGTTGTGATTTGGCGCTATACAAATAAAATTTGATTTGATTTGATTTAGCTCAGCCTACACTCACAGTATCACAGCCATTCCAAGACCTTTGTGTGATGTGAACAATTAACAACTGAGATGCAGCAACTTGTAACACTGACTAATTTTTGTAGCTAAAGGTTGGTTAAAATATACTGTATATAACATGTCAGTTGTTTCTCCTCTATATACGCTCACAGTATTTTCAGTTATTTTCTAGTGAGAGGGAACTCTTGGTTAGCTGGTAATCTTGTCAGATTATCCTTGGCTTCAGAAAGTGGTTCTACAGAGATTTTGTGGTGATTTGTTTTCTTTTGCAGCTCCGTCAACCTGTACTGTCCTTTTGTTGTGCAAAGCTGTTTTGTTCCATTCCACAAAGCTACTCAGACTGAAAGAGAAAAGTGAACCAAGTTAGAAGAAAATTTGCTGACAGCATGCAACTTCCCATATAGACCTGTTTTCCAACATGAGCTCAACTGTCTCAGTGATATTACTGTGATCCACGGATAGTGAGCATATAAAAGCACACTACTAATGTTCCCAGCCTGCTGCACTACTTTAGTTAATTCAAGTGTCAAGTCTGTGAAGTTTTTGGATTAAACTGTTGATGCTGTTCTGCCAGCACTCACTGACAAGAAACACACTTGAAAATGCTATTCATTAAAATATATTAACTAGAAAGTCTTTAAATTTAAGACTTACAGTTGCAGATGGTTGGCTCATTTTGTCAAAGCGGAACTTTAAGCTTGACCTCGGTGATGTTTTATTCTTCCCATCTGCAAAAGACAGAAGGCAGAAATGGAAACAAAAGGAAGGAAATATTCAGAGAACAAAAATCTGTCACCTCTGGCGGGTCATTCTGTCAACTTAATCAGATCTGAAAACTGTTTGTGTGTATACCTGTTGGACTCCGACACATGATGACAGGGATGCCTGATCCCTGGCTGTCCACACTAAGAGAAGGACTAAAGGCTGAGGAGGAAGCTATAGAGGGGTGGGTAGCCTAATGGGAAGAACAAGCAAAGGAAAGCTCAGTTAGCATGTAGGGGGGAAAAGGAACTGAAGTGGCACAATGAATGACAAAATTTAAATTTTGCTGGAGTCAACATTAACCTTCCTGCCAGCAAAGTCAGAGTGACCAAATGCTCAGCTGGGAGCTGAGTGAAAGGGCGCTTTGCAAGAACAAGTCACTGTAATTTGGTTTTGCTACAACATTAATATAATACAGGTTAAACATTTTACACTGGCCTAAATCTTTAAGATGCAAACATTGAGGAAACACATTCACTTTTACAGAGGTACAGGTAGCAGCTTATCAGTTAGCTAAGAATAATGACTGGAAAAGGGGGAAACAGCTAGCATGGCTGTTTTAAAAGCTTGTTTTTACACCCATCCATCCATCCATTTTCCTCCGCTTACCCGGGACCGGGTCGCGGGGGCAGCAGTCTAAGCAAAGCTGCCCAGACTTCCCTCTCTCCAGACACTTCCTCCAGCTCCTCCGGGGGAATGAGGCGTTCCCAGGCCCGCCGAGCGA